GGAAAACTCCTCAGCATTCGAGGAAGTTAACTTTAAAAAATGGGATTTACCTCTTTTTATGAGGCTCCTCAGAATCTGAGGCGAGATCGGAGGTGTTTTCCTTAAATATGGGAATTTTTCAAAGTTTTCCCTTTTCCCCCAAAAATGAGACCGTTTTTACCGTGCACTTCTTTCTTTCGATGCTGATATCGGCTTGGGTTTTCAAATGTTCTACTCGGTGACACTAAAACTGCGCACTATTATTTCGTTATTGTCAGCTCCCACAGTGGCCTGCACAGAGTAAGGGTAACATTTTACAACGCGTAGTTTCCTTATTACCCTAACAGCTCTATTTTTTTAAAGAAAAATTCTCACAGAAATTCTATCTACGCGAGATAAACATCCGGATAGGTAGGTATGCAAAGCATAGTAATAATCGTCCGCAATGTTTCTTGGCTAATCAATTCGAATTTGAATTTCTTCAAACTGATGTATAGGGATCTAAAGGCTATGTAAATTGATGTACTTAACATGCGTAAGCGCATCATGTTTACAGATATTCATGAGCTGTGAAAGAATATTATTTTGGTTGTAGCGATGTTTCACCTTGTGTTGTATTCTCAATGCGATTTGCTTCTGTTTGATTCATCTCTCACAGAAAGAGCGCAGCCCAGCGCTGCTTGAGTCGAATTAAACGAAAATAAATGTATAATGAATGCAAACGAGATGGCGGCATTGCGCTTTTCTGATGGAATGAAAATAAGCAGGCCAGCTGTGGGCCCCAGCTAGAGCCGTTAGGTTTACATTAAAAACGTCTTGCCGCCGTCCTTCGAGCGACAGTTCAGATAACTGGCTGGCGAAAACAGGACCAGCTAAAAGTGTCAATAACAGCCTGGGCGTGGACCTCGGCTCGGGGTGTAGTAAGGAAGGCTTACACAAATAATGTAGCATTCAGCATGCTAGTTTAGTTGAGCACCATTAGTCCACACCAGGACTCAAGCCTCAAGACGTTCCAGTGGCAGTGGCATAATATTTCAACAGGCAAAACTGTCCTATGACGAGGACGACACAGAAACTCATCAGCATGGCAAAAGGAACGGCTGGAAATTCGCAGGCCTTGACGAACGAGTGAGAGACAGAGGGACAGGGAAAAGACTGCGGGGGGTGATGGGAGAGGGGTGTTTGGGGGGTACGAGGGGACAAGAAGAGTGACTGGAGCACTTGAAGACGAGAACACAGCACGGAAAACGGAAGGCAGGGCCACTGCGACCACCCGGGCAAGACAAGACCTTGTCGACTTCCACCAGATGGCTCTCCTAATCCACTGGCGTTTTTATTTTAAACCCTTCCTATAATTCTCCACACAATTCCAGTTAGAACAGCCTGTCTATTCGCAGCATAGGTCTCCGCGTCCGGGTGAGGGAAGGGACGGACGAAATTGATGTTTAGAAGCAAAGTGTTCGAGGTTTTTGGAGCCGGAATTTTGTGAGTCTAGGGGTTGCCTTTGCCTTGCATGGCAGCGAGGCCCGACCCAAACGCCACGCCCCGCCGTAGCCCCACTTAAATTGGGGGCATAAAAGTGAGGGATGGTGGAGGAGCGGGCGGAGCGCGGCCGGCCGGCCTCAAGCCTGATTGCTTGAAAAAGGAGCCGGCGGCGGGAGGTAGGGGGGTCTTTAAAATAGGGGGATGGAAAAGGGCAGGAGAGCAAGGGGGACAGGGGGTGATGTTCGCTGCTCCTCCCCCGGTTTGGCCCCCTGCTCGTCGTGGGAATGAGGGAAGGGGAAAGGGAGGGGGTCCAATCATGTTGTATGCGAGGTGTGTTATTACAGCTTAGGGGCGACTTTGGACTTTGCCAGGCTCCCCCGCGACAAGGGGAAAGGGATGGGGGTGCGGCGGGCGGGGCCCGGCGGGACTTTGCGCGCGAGGAAGCAGCGCCACCGCCCCGTTGGTGACATGTTCCCACAAGAACAAGGCAAACGGACGGGAAAAAAAGCGACATCTTTCACGCGATTTTATCATATCACTTTTTCTGCTCGCTGCGGATATTTTTCCTCGTTTCAAGCCTCTTTTTTTTTTGTTACCGTGTTCTTCCATTGTAAAAAGGAAAGCTAAGCCGACTTACAATCAAGTTTGCAGTTTTTTTTTGTGTGTGTGTCATCGCCGAAAAAGCCCACAGAGAAGCATGAGAGCTCGGAGTCCCGACGAGCCTAACAACGCTGTGCTCGATGAAGCGATACCACCGCGACACGACGGGGGGCGGGCCGAGGCGGGCTCGACAGACACGCGCACGATTAATTTAGCAGGCGTCCGCAATCAAAACAAATTGTCATGCATCGACATTCATCAAAACATAACAAACGTTTATTCTTGTCTGTTTAGTCGGTCTCGTCATTTCAGGGTACACATCGAGCAACGAAAAGGGATAGTTTAATTTGGTCCCTTAATTTCTTCATACTAGTTAAACTTGAAGAATTTACCGGGTAAGAGAAAATTAAAGAACAGGTACCCAGGGCAGCTGGTAAGAAAAAACAAATTGATTGAAAATTCAACACAATGCTGAATTATTTGCCGTGCCATCATCAGGTCCCCTGCTCCTTAAGAATTAAACGAGGAGACGTGAGGCGATGCGGTGGAGCGGGGTCCTCTGCTTCGAGCTCCTTTCTTACTCACTCAAAGCCGACCCGGCGCCTTCTCCGAGACCCAGGAAGGGAAACCCCCCCTCCCTACAGCACGACAATATCACTTCGGCACACCGCTGCGGTGGCAGAGGGCCAAAAGGAGAGGTACACGGCGAGGAAAAAATAAAAAAAAACTGGAGGAAGGGGAGACGCGAGACTGAAAAGCCGCGCGCCGCTGCTGCGGAAAGGCCTCCTATGCGCGCGCCCGACACCTTGCCTTGCGCCCACCCCTCTTACACGCGAGCAGTGTCCAAAGGGGCGCGCGGGGGGAGGGTGGTGTGGGTTGATTTAGTTACTACCCCTACCGGGGATGAATAGCGCGTCCCCCGCCCACCTCTCACCACCGCCACTCGAGGAGCAGCAGGTATTCTAGCCGCCCCAGACAATAGTCCTTTGGCGGCCGCGGGGCAGCGAGGGCGAGGGGTGGGGGGAGGAAGCGAGGTGGGCGCAGGGGTCATGTGCTCCTGAAGGGGAGGGGGGGAGGCGCGAGCCGCCCAATGCTGGAATCATCTATTTTTATCGACGTTCGGGGTGAGCGGGTGAGGGGCTAGGGCGGCAGCCAGGCAGGGGCGGGCTAAGGGAGGGGGAGGAGGGGGGAGCGAGCAACCGCGCCGCGGCCGCCCCCTCCGCGTAAGGAGGTGCGAGGAGCACCGCACCGCTACGCTAGGCTACGCAACGCCGCGGTGGCCCCTGCTGCAGCGCGTCTTATCGGCGCCACAGGGAAATAAAAATACGTCGGTACACTAATTATCTATCATCAGGCATAGGAAAGGGACGCAAGTAGTGGGCGGGCGTAGCAGGCCTGCCCCCCTGCTGTTCCTGTTGGTCGCGACATGCACCGGCATGCACGTACAGTATAGCACACCGCGCGATTGCGTGCGAGGTGAATGCCGCCCGCCGGCTGTTTGTCCTCGCACTCCCGCATACAGTAGTAGTAGCTCGCAGTATAGTCCCGCCCCCCAGAGGTCACGCGGCTGCACTGCTGGAATGCAAGGGGAGCAGGCTCCGACAAATATTTCCTCATATCGGCGTTCGCCCGGCTGCTTGCTGGCGCTGCTGGACCCCCAGGCGCCGTGTGAGCATCCAGCGGCGGACAATATCGGTGGGTAAGACAGCCGCGCCATCGACTATTGGGGGGAGGGGGAGGGGGGAGGACGACAGAGACAGGCGAGGAAAGTGATCATCCCGGCTATTCTCGCGCGCTGCGAAAATCCAAAGGCTGAGGCTGTCAGTGTCACGAGCGGACGGGCGGGAGGGGCGACGTGCTCCACTCCACCCCCCTCACCGCCGCCGCGCGTCTCCGTCGCTATTGCGTCCCCCCCTCGCCCCCGGATTGACCGCTTGATCCCCCTTCTACTATATTCCGGCCGACGGCGGCGACGCCTCGGCAGCTATCCGTGAGAGGAAGGCTCAACGTCCGCACCCTGTCGACACCCCCCTCCCCTCATCCCTCACCCCCCTCGAGTCTGATACAGCAACAGCAGCCGGCGTCCGCCCGCACCCTGCACCGCCCGGCCCCCTCTCTCCAATCCAAACTAAGCGGATGTAAAACTAACTGGAAATCAAGTTTGCCGCTCTGACGCGCTCAGCGCCCCGCTCACTCCAACCCCCTCCCCTCCGTGCGGCTCGCCACTCTGCCCGGCCAAATGGAATGAAAACAGCGCAGCACGACGGCTGGAGCGCGTCGCCGCGGGACGATCCGGTAGTACCGATGTCGAGAGGGCCTCGGCCTCACTGCGGACGGCAAACGAACCCTGCGTGCCAACGGCGGCGAGGGCCGCTGGACTGGAGGGGGGAGCGGGGGAGCGCGGGGAAGGGCCGGGCGGCGCAGCAGAGAGGGCGCCGGGCGCCACCGGATGCAGGAAACTGTGTCCTCCTCGCACTACGTGCTGGCTGGGGTGAGATTAGGGAGAGGAGGGAAAGGGTGGGGGATAAAACTTATGCCGACCACTCTCTCCCCCCCCCCCCCACTTTTCCCCACTCACAATGTTCCAAACGTGAGATTTAGTTGGAAGAAGTTGGCTAGGATTGGGGGGAGGGGGGAGATGCGAGACGTTGGTCGCGGAAGTGGTAAAGGGGAAAGGGGCAAGAGAAGCGGCTATGAGATAAGACCATCACAAACCGATTATCGACGGGGTGACCGCTGCCAAGGAGGTCAGTGTGAAACCGAAGGGATACGACAAAAAAGTTACTCTTTACTCATGTTGGAGAGAATATTATGAGGAAAGTTGATGTTTGGGTTTCAGTGAAATTGTTTAGGGCAGTAGAAACTCTACATGGCATCGATGAATTAGATTTGTTGGGAGCAATGAGTAAGAGTCCGCCTTCTGGAGGTTTGCCTACCTTGAGCTGTCGCTGGTGCTGGCTCTGCTGGCCCTGCTGGTCTCGCCCGTCTCGTCGCTGCTGCGCCAGTCGGTCTGCGTCCGCGTCCATGGCCTCCATGGACGACTCGGCCTCCGACAGCCAGGCTAAGAACTTGTCCAGGGAACGGTCGAAAGTGTGCAGCGAGTTCATGGCTGACTGCAGCATCTTGCCTCGGTTCACGATACTGCAACATTAAGATCGTTTGTTGGTTTCTTGAACTTGGCAAACATTTTCTAACACCGAAAAACAAATCATGGGAAGTAACAAACATCGGAGGTCTCAAACCATTATTAGAAAACTCAAAATAGAGCCGTAAAAGGGACACACTCTTTGAGACACGAAGAAGATAAAATAAACGATATTAAACCAATCCATTCGCCATTCCTCGTTTTAGATAATTTTTCGAACAAGTTCCCAAGAAACACTTGTGACACACGGCAGGGATCGAAATCCAGTATTTCTTTTAGATTTTTTGAAAAAAATATCTTACGTAATTCTAAGGGAAATTCCATTGACTTAGACCACCCACCTAGAGTTGAGATTCTGATAGCGCTGGTTGACCATTTCGGTCATCTTCTTGACGCGTGTGGTGTCATCTTGTTGGTACACGGCAATCAGCTTCTGAGTGAGCTGGGAGAACAAGTCCATGTGGTGCTTGTACTGGTGCAGCTCAGCGTGGAACGCCTGTAGATGATACAAAAACGCCATTATTACAATGATTACTAATCTCGCATCAACTTTCCTCTCAACTTTTCGGCCTCGTAATTCTGCAAAAATTGCAACAACAAATATTGAAGCCTGGTTTGAAAGTCTTCTCACCTTTTGGTCTCGCAGCTGCGCCTCCAGCACGTCGGCCGTGTGGCCAACAGCACCCATTCTCTCTAGGCGGGCTTCCATTCGGCCGAGCCAAGCGTCAACCTCCAGCCGCTTGCCCTCATAGCGCTGGCTGTCGGCCAGCATCGCGTCTAGCTGGGTCTTTCGTGACATCACCTTGGAGTTTGTCTCATCCCAGTGCTCGCGCAGCTTGGTCACTGCAAAAAAAAGAAAAGGGGGCACCGGTTACCGAACCGAACAGAAAACAGCAGTTATTCCAGTCATACATCATTGTCTCACTCTGTTAGTAAAACACAAACACATAAATACAGTAACACGCTTGTAAGAGCAACTAAATAACTAAGTTACTCGTCGCCCCATCAGCTAAAAGGTTGCGATTGCGAATCATGGAGGAAGGAAGAATATGACCGTTATACACACACATGCAAAACCCCGAATATCTAAGAAGGTGCCCCTCGTTTCGATCCCCCTCATAAAGCATGTTCTGAGTACACACGCGCGTCGAGTCGCGGGCCTTTCATATTCTGAACATACACTTTACACATATGCATCCAAACAGCGGAGGCGTCGAAAACCCGTGTGGAAAAGAACAAACACGGTCCCGCCTCGGACCAGGCCGACCAGAGATAAAAGGAAAAGAAAAGTCCTCTAGACACATGCTCGCAAAAGGCTCTCTTCAGCGCTGACCTCCCCCTTTCTCTTCCTCCCTAAGAAAGTACTCCCCTCCCCCTGTATCTCATACAAACGCGAGGTGGCTAAACGATGACAAAAACGAGGAGATGCTCTCTGGACGCCGGCTCTAAAGGATAGCGCAAAGGAGGGAGGGCGTGGGGAGAGATAAGGCCTGGCGCTACAAGTCGGGGCCAAAACAGGTCAACAGCCGCCGGCCGGCCGCATTGCCAGGAGTAGGGGCCTAGCTCTCAATTAGAGGGATCATCCCTGTTCAGCCCTATTCTTTCCTGATAAAAAGTAGTGGCCGCAGCAGCCCCTCTCCCAAAAAAGTCGGATAATAAATGAAAACCACCCATGTAGGGAATAAATGCACAGCCGATTTTAACCATTTCCCCCTCGTTTGACGGCAACACCACTTGAATAGCGGGTTTTCGTCACCCGAACTAAAACAGCAACCAGGTAAAATGACACAGTTGAAACCTTTGGTGCTTTAGCGTCGAGCGCTAATGACGAGACTGTTCCGTGTTTTATAGGGGTCCGGCCCGTCCGGCCTCTTTGTGAGTGACTGCCACCAACACTGTCCACCACCCCCTGCTTTCCATCAATGGCGACAGCGAGGCATGCAGGTGACAAGCCCCTCCACTTTATCAATGGAACAGTGGCCTGCTCGTCCCTTTCCTACTGAAGCTCATCACATTATCACATGGCAAGGCAGAGCAGAGGGGTGAAATATAGAGTTTCTTTTGGTCTTTAATTTCAGGGAGGGGAGAAGTAAAATGGAAGAGATCCGCAGGGATAGAGACAGGTAGGGAGACGGTCCCCACCGAATGTTTCGTGGTGTGCGTATCCACGAAACAACTGAAAACTCGTGCCCCGGCCCTTTCTACTATCTCCCTCTCTCGCTATAGAGCCTACACCTCTACTCGCCTGCAGGTCCAGACCCTCTCCTCTCCCTGTCTCTATATCTCTGTGAGAGGGGGGAGATGCCCGGGGGTAAAGGCAAGAAGGGTCAGTGGTCCTGTTTAGTCAGGTTGTCTCTACTGTATAGACACAGTAAACGACAAGCCTGAACAAGTTAACCTTCCCAACCGCAAAACGCCTCTCTTTTATTCAAGTAAACTATGCGAATGTGCCGTCATACAAAAGTTATACAGCAGGCTCCCATTTGTTCTACACTCTCCCACTCGTGAGTCAAATTTGTGAGGAGCATTTTCTTTTATTAAAGCAACAATATGTCTATAGTGTTTATAGACCTTCTTATAGACTATAGTCAATGTTTAATTTAGAAAT